AGTTTTAAAAAATCTCATACAAGTACGAAAGTACAAAATCTACAAAAGTCAGTTAACGAAGTGTGGCGAAATTACAAATTACAAGCAAAATCCGACAAGGAACTAGATATTATTGTATCTAAGAGAATCGAAGAAGAATTGCAAGCGGCGACTAAGAATAAATCCAATCTACTAAATTTGTTCTCTAAGGTGAGTGACGAAATCATTTTAGGTACCCAGTAATAGAAATATTAGAAATCGCCAAAAAGTTTCTCTTTACTGATTAGAAAATATTATGGCCTATCTCAAAGTATAGAGGTAATATTCATTATATTATAGATTTATTTCTTATGATTGATTCCGTCAATTGGTCACAAAGTACAGGATGTTAGTTTTATACATATATACAGAAAACTAACACCCTGTATTTTGTGACCGGAACGAATTGCTCGTTTAAACATATTAGATTTAAAGCCGTATGGTTTTGTATTTACCATATATATTGCCATACTATGTATATATATAGCTTAATAAGAGAATCTTTAGCAGAAGCCATAGAAAGTTTTTATTTTTAGGCAACCTGTAAACCGGCAGAAAAAATACAAATTATACAGTCAGCTTCAAATATTAAAAAAGAGGAAGACAAAATAATATCCGGTAATGAATCACAACAGCAATGCGAAATTAATGAAAATACAGATAAACAGAGAGCAAAACCTTCTCAGGAAGCTATGAAAAATAAGATTGCTCTACTCGAAAAAAATCTGAATGCTTTGTATTCTGCCAGAGATACTATGCCAAGCCGTGCTGAAGTTGATAAACAGATCATTAAGTTGCGCGAGGAAATAAAAACAGCAAAACAGTCTTTAAACAGGAAGGTTCAAAACGCAGTTGCCCAGAAGAAACACAGGGATGGTATGTGAAGAAAGTTAGAAGATATTTGTCATGAAAATCCAGAAATAAAAAAAAGACTATCTCTGAGGGATTCAGTGGGACGTCCTAATCTTGAAAGCAATCAACATTCACTAGTGAAAAAAATCGCGGATATAGCTTTATTTCGGAGTGCAGCAGATGATAGAAGACGAACGGAATCGATTCGCAGCGTAAAAACTCTTGATGAACTCACACAAGAATTACGTAAAATAGGATTTGACATTAGTCGCAGTGGGACATATCTTCGTTTGATTCCCAGAAAATTTAATTCTGCAGAGGGACGAAGACATGTATCGACAGTCCCTGTTAAGCTCATTCGGGCTCAAACTGATCACCACAAGAGCCACTTAGATAGCAAGTTCGCTGAAACATCAATCCATTATTTAGAGAACATAGCATCCGTACTTGGACTAGATCAAATATTTTTCATATCTCGAGATGATAAAGCTCGAGTCCCTATTGGCGTAACGGCGGCAAATAAGCAAGCACCTCTTCTAATGCACATGGAATATAGAATCAAATTGCCTGATCACGAGTGGGTAATCGCGATCCCAAAACGGGTCCGTATTGTTAAAACGTTTTACTGAAATAATGAGTCGATTGTTGCAACGATTCGGAAGCTACCACAAGATTTCGGTCGAAATAATGTGCCCAGTGTCAACACCATTCATCAGTTGGTGCGGAAATTTGAACAAACAGGTGAAGTTGAAGACTTGCTAAGGTCGGGCCGTGTTAGAACTGTCCGTACTTCGGAAAATATCGCGAGTTCGTGAAAGTGTAGTGGAGCATCCTGAGACGTCTACAAGACATCGTTCTCAAGAACTGGGTATTCGCCGCACCATTATTATTATGCACTATTTTAAAAAAGACTTGCATTTGCGGCCATACAAAATTCAGTTAACCCAAGAACTACAGCCTATACTACAACTATTTAAAACTGTAATGACTCATACGCGTGATCAACACGTAATCAGAGCTCGATCCCGGCTTCCTTCCAGTACAGCCGTATAGCGTACGACATATGTCGTTTCTGTGGCTTTGCGGTGGTCAACAGCACAGACAGAGATGGAAATAATGGCTGATTGTTCTCCGCCGGTAGAACCAATGAAACCAAAGACGCGCCTCGACCGGCAGACTCATAGGCGTCGGCAACGCATTGGAACGTGTTTCGTTGAGCGATCGCATATTGTGTGTTTTTATAAGAATTGTTGTGTGATTGTTATTGTTGTGGTTTCTGTGGTTACTGTTTTGGTTATACTTAACCATGGAGAGTACAAATGGCACCAGTGGAAGTACTGAAAGCCAGGGAACAAGTAGACGGCTTCGTAAAGCACTGAAGAGGGACGCGAAAGAAATCGTGCTCAACGTGTTCAATTATCTGAACAGAACTATGTCGCAGGGAGATGCACTCGCGCGTTGTGAAAGTATGACAGGCGTTCCAGAGTGGACCATTCGCAGGGTGGTGCATGGTAATGAGGAAATCCCTGCACGAAATTAATTCTCGTTACGAAACGCGTAATCGGAAGTCAGTATTGATAGAGAGACCTGAAATAGTCGCCTGGCGTCGAAAATACCTACGCGAAATGATTGAATATAGGCGACAAAGCAGAAAAATCTATTATTTGGACGAGACATGGGTAAATGCAGGTCACACAGTTAAAAAAACCTGGATAGACAAAAACGTAGTGAGTAACCGACAAGCAAGCATTGAAGGTTTGTCAACAGGTCTTCGTGGACCGTCAGGGAAAGGTCAAAGATTGATCGTAACTCATGTTGGTAGCGATAGTGGCTTTTTAGAAGAGTGTGACTTGATTTTCGTCTCTAAGAAAGGAGGTGATTACCATGATGAAATGAATGCCAGCTGCTTCGAGAGCTGGTTTCAAGGGGTGCTTCAGCTAGTTGAGCCCAACTCTGTGATCGTCATGGATAATGCTTCCTACCATAGTCGTCGAGCCGAACGTGTACCGACTATGGGATCTCGAAAAAGTGACATGCAGCAATGGTTGCGCGAAAAAGGAATCCCGTTTGACGATTCATGTGTGAAAGCGGAATTGTATGAAAAAATTAAACAGCACAAACCTGCGAATATTAGTTACGTGACTGATGAGATGGCCCGTCAATGTGGTGTCACTGTGCTGCGGTTACCGCCCTACCACTGTGAACTGAATCCAATAGAGCTCATCTGGGCTCAAGTGAAGGGTTATATTGCGCGCCATAACACAACCTTCAAATTACCAGACGTTAAGGTTTTACTTGAGACTTCCATACAGCTAGTAACGCCCGAAGCTTGGCAGCATGCTATCCGTCATGTTGTGAAGGAAGAAACAAAAATGTGGCAGCTTGACCACCACATCGACACCATCATAGAGCCAGTTATAGTCAATTTCAACGAGGAAAGCGATAGCGACAGTTTATTACTGTCAGATGTAAGTGGAAGCGACGATGAATAAAGGTAATTCCCAAATTTTTGACTTACAATATGTTTCAAACCACTCTTTATTAAGCATGTGACAAATCTAGTTCACCCATGTTAAACATTCATACCCCGCCTATGAACAGCCGACTACTGGTAGTTAAGTGATGTTCACGTGAACATCGATGAGTCATTACAGTTTTAATAGTTATAGTATAGTAGTGAAAACTTGGAGGTTGTAGGTTTTAAGTGTAACGTCCTTAGTATCAGTCAACGTCGTGGAGGCCACTGCCAAGTGTGCAATGGGCAAAAAACTAGTCACTAAAAAAGGCCCAGAGTACCCCCACCAGACAACTCAGTTCTCAGTCCGCCGATCGCCTATAAAACCGCGCGCTCATCCAGTTAACCGATCAGTTTCACTCGACCCGCCAAGCCGAGCACTTCGCTCTCGCCGACAGCGCCACTGAAGTTGGCTACCGCAGATGTAGCCGAAAGCTCTGGACCAAATCGAACCCGACCACGGCTCAACATCGATGAGTCATTACAGTTTTAGATAGTTATAGTATAGTGACCGTGAAAGTCGCCGGCAATACAGTCATGCAAATATGGTATTGCAGCTTAATACCCAAAATAATGATTTTTACCAACAATCAATAATGAGCAATGAAGCCGACTTCGATATGAACGGAATTGTTAATAAGCATTATCGTATCTGGTCATTAGAGAACCCTCGTGTCATCTATCTACGACCACTACATCCTCGTCGAGTGAGAGTTTGGTGCGGTGTCATTGTTCTTCGAAGACGCTGCAGGTAATTCCCTTACTGTCACTGGCGAGCGCTATCGTGATATGGTGCAAAACTTTCTGGCTCCTCAAATCCCACAATTTAACCTGCAAAACATGTGGTTCCAGTAGGACGGAGCAACTTGTCACACAGCTAGGGAAACAATGAATCTTTTGCGAACAATATTTCCGGGAGGTTTAGTTCCTCGATTTGGTGATGTCAACTGGCCACCAAGGTCACTGGCTCTTGACTTATTTTATGGGGATTTTTGAAAATAGGGTTTATGTCATCAAACCAAATACTGTAGAGCAGCTGAAGAACAATATTACGGAAGCGATTGAAAATATTCCTCCCGAAACCTATCAAAAAGTGATGGTAAATGTAATTAAGACGGATCAGGTTTACGTGGCTTCTAGAGGCGGACATCTGTGTGATATCAGTTTTCATTGATAATTTCTAAGTTTCAATAAAATATTAAGATGAAAAAAATGGTCGTATTTTATTTCCTTTCACAAATATTTATTTTTTTTATTTATTTATTTATTTATTAGCAGCAGATTCAACATGTATACAGTTTTTTACATCATATTAAATATATAGACTTTACAATTATTGTATAATATTTAAATCCAGCTATCTATTCTTAAAATTACCCACTATTGCTAATAGTTTTAGATGCACAATTGTATTCAAAATACTGTGTGTGCACCCCATTCACATTGTTAAGTGTAACTTTTTCATTGAGGTTCTTAATTCTAGTTTACAAAGAGAAAAAGAAATATAAAAATAGATTAAACAAATTCAAAGCTATTATGTTTTATCTTAAATTTTAGGAACTTAATACCTTTAATGCTACAGGTTTTTATATTACATAATTAATGGCGTATTGACTATCAATAATCCATCTTGTTAATTCCTTTTTAACAGTAGAATATCTCAATCTCTTAATACTATTTGGCACATCATTATAAACTTTTGGACCTATACAGTAAACGTGACTCTGGCAAGCTGTGTGTCTAGGGTTTTGCAATTTTACTTTTGCATGAGCAGCACTTCTTGTATTTTGGCCATGCTGTAAGTATTCTTTGTAGAAATCATATTTCATGATAAATCTTATAAGTGATTTTAAATAGAGCTGCTCTAGGTTCAGTATTTTACTGTCTCTAAAAACAAGTTCAGATGAATATCGTTTCTGTTTGAAAAGCATAATTTTTATGATCCATTTCTGAGCTACCTGTAACTTGGATAACGTTGCTAAACTTGTATTTCCCCAAACTACGAAACCATAATTAATTACAGATTCTGTTAAAGCAAAATAAACTGTTTTAAGAGTTCTGAAGTCTAATATTTCCCTTAATTCATAAAATTTGTGAATAAGTTTTCTAATCTTTGTTGTAACATACTCAACATGATCTTTCCAAGTAAGAAGTTCATCTATAATTATTCCTAGATATTTAAATCTCGATTTCTTATTTATATATTTGCTACATGCACACTGAGGTGCAAAGTCACAATATGAGTCATGAATCTTAATGCAGTTTAGATTAGGCAAAGTACGCGAGGAAAGGGAAAAAGTCATAAAATTGGTTTTCTCAATATTTAGAGAGAGCAAACTAAAATCTAGCCAATTTTTAATTGTGTGCAATGCTCTTTCAGCTTTTAATTTGACGGAATCCCAATCTTCACCACTTACTAAAATACTCGTATCATCTGCAAAGCAATAGATAGTTATGTTTGCATCATTTAATTGTTCCATTATATCATTTATGTATATTATAAACAGCAAAGTTGAGAGAACCGTACCTTGTGGCACCCCGCATTCTACCTTCAAAATATTACTTTCCTGACCCGAGACATTTGTGATTTGTTCACGTCCAGAAAGATAGGACTTTATGAGTTTATTTGGAATGCCCCTTATTCCCAGATTATCCAAACGACCTAGTAAAATTGGATGTGCCACTGTGTCGAATGCCTTTTTTAGATCTAAAAATATACCCATCACCTTTTTTCCTTGGTCTAGCCCTTTCAGAATACTCTCAGTGACCCTGACAAGTGCAACTTCAGTGTTAGAATTCTCTCTGAAACCAAACTGATTTAAGTTGAGTAATTTATGCTTTTCCAAAAACTGCATTAATTTTCTTTTCAGACATTTCTCAATAATTTTACTTACTGTACTAGTTAATGCAATGGGTCTATAGTTGTTCATGTCTTTTTTATCTCCTTGTTTGTGAAGAGGTATCACTTTGGTTTTTTAATATTTGTGGAAAAATACCAGCACCAAAAACTAGGTTTATTATGTGTTTCAATGGAATACTAAGTTTTTCTTTATATTTCTTGATTATATTTGATGAAATATTATCCTCCCCGCCTTTTACCCCATTCTTTAAACAGTTTATCTCCCTAATTACATCATCATTCGTCACAGGACACAAGAAAAGTGATTCATTACCTCTTTTTTCCCGCACTTCATTCCTCCAAGTACCTCTAGTAATTTCACTTGCTAATTTTTTACCAATGTTACAAAAATAATTGTTAAATTCATCTGCAACTTCTTTTTTATCAGTTATTTCTGAATTAGTTTTGGTAGTGATACATTTTATTTCTGGTTTACTCTCTTGGTCATTGGTGGCCTCTCTAAGCACATTCCACAATTTTCTGGGGTTATCCAAATTTCTTTGTGTTAAATATTTTTAATAATTATACTTCACTTTCTTGATAAGTTTACTTAAAAATTTCCTGTATTCCTGATGCCTGTTTAAAACTACGAAATTGCTGGGATTTAGTGCACATTCCCTTTTAAGGAGGTTTCTGTTTCGAATAGATATTAGGAGCCCACCAGTGATCCAAGGTTTTAATTTCTTTATTTATTGGGTATAGGCCTAGTTATAGTGGCTTTCAAAATGATGTCTTTTAGTCCATTAATGAAAGCCTCTGTGCAAAGCTCTACATTATTTTCTTGTAGAACATCACCCCACAACTCTCCATTTAGTTTTTGTGTGATATTTTCATAATCTATTTTTGTAAAAGTATTAATTTCATTTGTAATGCCCTCACCTAATCTATCTAGCTGAATATTAAGGAGAATGGGGTGATGATCTGTAAGGTCGCTCTTCAAAATCACAGCCCTAACCTTTTCAAAAACATTACTCTTACATTTAATAAAAAAGTGATCCAACAAGTCCCACTGTTATCAGTAATTCTTGTTGATTTATTAATTGCACTCATTAACCCATAGCCTTGCAATAAAGTCAAATAGTTATTTGTTGTATCTGTTTCCCTATCTAAGAGATCAATATTAATGTCCCCAGCAAATACATAAACCTTGTTCCGATCAGTGATGGAACGTTGAAATATTCTTCCTAGACTATCAATGAATTCATCCTTTGAAATACAAAAGCACCTATACGTAGCTAGGAGAACAACCGTTGCATGATTTTTTTGCAAAGTGACACTAATAATCTTTAAATTATTTTCTTGAATTATTTGATTTGTAACACGATATTCATTTTTAACAAAAATTATTGATCCATCACATCGATTAAGACTACTTTCGTTAAAGAATATTTTGTACCCAGGAATGTTAAAATCGTCTATATTGTATACATAGTGTGTTTCTGACATAATTATAACATCGAAAGATTTACCTAATGATTCAAGATACACCAAAAATTGGTCAAAATTTTGATAAATACTACGTATGTTTACATGCATAAAATTAAGGTCGTTTACAGAATTATCAAAGAAGTCTACTTGACATAAGTTATCACATATGATTGTTTCTAAGATCTTATAAGCATCAAAAATACCGTTTATAGCCATTAAAAAAGAGAAAATTATTACTTACAAGTTCTGTTATAGATCTCCTAAAACATTTACTATACCTATACTATCTTAATTTGTCCAAATCAGACTCTCATTTAATTTTTATGGCTTGCTCATTTTCATTTGTTTTGATGTGAACAGATCCATTGAGGTAAAAAGCTGCCTTATATCCCTTTTGCTTTTTAAGTTCCCTTGCCATCTTGAAAAGTACCCTCTTAGACATTGGCAGATCCTCGTTGAAATAAAGACACAAACCAGTCATTTACATATCAGCCACCCTGTATATAAGCAGTGACATAAAAAGTTTTACACCCAGAAAAAATAATTTCCTCAGCTTGTTTTTTTGGCAACATAATAACTATATTTGAAGCATGCTGTGTCTGAGAGCTGAGTAGTATAGATATTTTTAGTTATTGCCCTTTCATTTACTAGTGTTAAGCATAACAAAATGCCTCGAGTTCGAAGACGTCCAAATTATCACCATGTTAGCTACTTTGACAGGGGTAGAATTATTGCCTATCGACATGTTAGTTTTTCCTATCGCGAAATTGACCGCGGTGATAATTGTACTGTAATGACGGTAATGCGTGTGTATCGTGTATGGATAGAAGAACGTAGAGGAACACGAAGAAGGCCAACCGGTTCACCGAGGCGTACCACAGAGCGTCAAGATAGGCGCTTCAGACAACTAGCCCTACGAGACCGTTGTGCTACTACGCGTCAGATCACTGACCAATGGAGAAGAAGTAGACCTCTATCGCTGCATTCGATCCTTTGGACTTTTGTCATACCGTCCGCAGTTAGTGCTTCCTCTGACTGCGGACCACTGTCGTCAACGTTTGCACTGGAGCAGAGAACGGCAAGATTGGGAGGCAGAATGGCAAAATGTCATCTTCAGTGACGGATCGCGATTCTGTCTAGGTATGCACGATGGTCGTAAATGGTAAAGACAACGCACGTCCCCATTCATATTGCTCGCCGTACTGTGGACTTTCTTCAAGAAGCAGGCGTTAATGTTTTGCCGTGGCCACCCCGTTCACCGGATTTAAATCCCATTGAACATGTGTGGGATATGATGAGGAGGAGGCTATCTACTTTGCACCACCCGCCACAGACTCTTTCTTGGAAAGATGTGCCATAACCAGACATCGATCATCTCATTTTGTCGATGTCTAGACGTATACAGAAGTGTATTCAGCTGCGGGGTCGCCCAACACATAATTTTTTTCTTATTACTTGTCATTAGAATTTCGAGAGAATGTTATCGTTTTATTCTTGATGTAAGACTACCTCATTGCTAAAAAATCAAGTTGAAAAAATTATTTTTTCTGGATGTAACACTTCTAATGTCACTGAGTATCTATATATTTAAATGTAAAAATTTCATAGACGCGATCAAATTAAAATTTAGTTATTTTCAGGGCCAAAGATCCTGGCTCTGACACTATTATGTTTAAACTTTGGATGACAACTTTTGCCAAACAGAAAAAGTGAAAATAGTGGAAATATTCCGGACAATTCCCTTTTATTGCTTATTTCCCGTGTATCGATGAAAACGGCATGAATACAATTGTGTTTCCCTTTCATTGATAAAAATGCCTATAATACTTACAATGGTACAATAGTGTTATTTCCCTTTTATGCATAGCATAAGGAAGAATTAATGGAATAATTCAAAAAATTAGATATATAGGTATCCTAGAACCCTCTGCCAGGGAAAATCTGAGCTCGAAACCATTTTTTACAGGTCATTAAAATCAACCTGATAATTAAAAAAAATACGTCAAGTAGATTGACTCTATACTTCCTATACCTTCGTTGGAGATTTCAATGAAAATGGATGAGTCAAATCGTTTCAAAAGGCGAAATCGGTTCGTGATTAGGTAAGTTCATTTAGCTACGATGAATCTTCGACCTCTGCATATCAAACAATTTAAAGCAAATCTATGATATTTCTGTTTCCATGGAAGATGTAGGGAAAATGTGTGTGAGTTGTTATGTCTAACAGGTGCATACTATCAGCGAGATCAGCAGCTTCTTAATAATAGAAGGTCTTCCACTGACACCAAATAAGCAACAATTTACAACCATTTACCACATACAGCTTCCAACCCACAAATCTCTGAAATGTTGTAAGACTATGTTCCAGCGATTTTATTTCCGCCACCTCTGAATCAATTTTCAAAATCTATCTACGTGTTTCTCATTTAGGTCGGTTTGTCAGTCTGTGTCTAATGTACGTGAATGCGTCATAAGTACTGAGTCAATCTACTTGACGAAATATTCATAGAACCATCATTGACGGAGTTACACAAATTAAAGGTTAGGTTAAATTGGGGGGTACATAATTCAAAAAAATATATGTATAGATATAAAAACAGTTAAGTCATCATTTACAAAAGCATCGTAGAACTCTAAACATTTCTCCTGTAGCGGAGTGGAGTTTGTTACCCATTGCACAGTAGGCAGTGGCCTCCACGCCAATGCAGCGTCGCGCAAAATTATTTCGAATTATACATCAGACTTTTAGCATTTAATTTTCCCTTTGTTACCGGGATCAGGAGCTTCTAAATGATAGAACGTCTTTGACTAATACTAAAGACGTTAAATTTACAACCCCCAACACCCAAGTTTCAACCCCTACAAAAAACTTTCCGAAACTGATCAGGAGCCTCTGAAACGCCAAGGAACGAAGTTTAAGCGATTTTTTTCGTGTTTTTGCCTCCAGCTCAGCCATCACTAGATCGATTTTCAAAAACTAACTTTTCATCCTTGGCATAGAAGTAACCTC